GTCATTAGGCTAGGGGCTCACATACTTTTTCCTCCCTGCTCTGTGAATGTTTACATGTTATGTTCAATTAAACCATGGCAACATGTAATGTTTGTGCATTATTATTTTCAGCAGACTGTGTTTTTCTATTGTTGTGACTTAGATGACGTTCAGAGCACATTTTATGACCAATTCATGCAAAACTCTGTGTTATCCCAAGAGGTTCACATACTTTTTCTTGCAACTGTAGATGTAGATAGATAGTTAAGAGATTATATATAGAGATAGATGATAGATAGATATGATGATAGATATATAGATGTGGATAGTTAGAGATGATAGATGACAGAGATAGATATAGATGTAGATAGATAGAGATGATAGATAGATAGATAGATAGATAGATAGATAGATAGATAGATAGATAGATAGATAGATAGATAGATAGATAGATATAGATGATATAGAGATAGATAGTTGATAGATATAGATGATAGACAGACAGACACAGACAAACAGACAGACAGACAGATAAAGAGGGAGGGAGGGAGAGAGAGAGAGCCACAAGCTTAATGTGGAATTTCCAACATCACCTCTGGGGCATCCAGGCAATCTTAATAAGATAAAATTGGGGGTGGTTCCAGCCTACTGCTTCACCTGCCTCCTGACCCAGGAAGCGTTGTCCCGATGACACAAGATTAGCAACTTGTGGTGCTCTCAAAACTCTCCATCCCCTCTGAGACTACAGGACGGGCAGGACAACAGTCCCCAGGGTGATGAGTGGCCCGTACCAACTACGACGTGAGGGGTAGCTAAAATCTGAGCACGTCCAAATCCTTTGGCTTTACCTCTTGTCTAGAAAGAGTCATGGGCAACTTCTCCTCCGCCAGCTCCAGCTCCAGCACCGGATTTGAAGACGCTGGGTTTTCGTCCTGTTCTGCCTCATCGTTGACCTAAATAGCGTCGAGGAGTACAACATAACCCACAGCTTTAAATACGAACACAGAAATATGGATATCCCACACCGAACAATGAGCAGCTGGGCAGAGAAGCAGAACTTCTTCTAGAACGCCCAATAAAATCGTTGAGTTAGCACTTCTTTTGCTTTTAGGACTGCATCATTGTTCCAGGCTGAGTCAGTTACTACAAATGACGCAAAAACTCCACACACTTAGAGCAGGGGGGTCTTCAAACTTGGCCCTTTTATGACTTGTGGACTTCAACTCCCAGAATTCCTCAGCCAGCATAAAAGGGCCAAGTTTGAAGACCCCTGATCTAGGTTGACATAACGATTCTCTCTCGCCTGAGAAATGATGGTTCTTCATTAACTTAGTTCAGGGGTCCTCAAACTTGGCCACTTTAAGACTTGTAGACTTCAACTCCCAGAATTCCTCAGCCAGCCTGCCTGGCTGAGGAATTCTGGGAGTTGAAGTCCACAAGTCATCAAAGGGCTAGAGTTAGATGGTAAACACTTCTGGACCAGCTTCACGAAGGACGTGGACTATTGAAAAAAAATTAAAAGTAAATATTTTTGTAAAGGGAACCGGTTAAGATTTGAGAGCCGATGCTTTCACAGTTAAGTAACCGGGGACTTTAAAAATGTACATGGTTTACACATGTCACGTTAGAGAACATAAGGAGATCCACCTCTGTCACATAATTCGATTCGTGCTGGGAGGCAAGCTCTGGTTTGCACCAACAAAGCTGGCTAGTCCAAACATAACCACAATCTGCAGCTTAATTAAAGGAGAAAGAGAGGAAAAGAATGGAAGCAGAGGGGGGGAAAGAGATTGCCTATCAATTGGGCCCATTCCTGTTGCTTTTTTTTAAAAAAAATAAAAGTACAGGCAGTCCTCCACTTACAACCACGACTGAGGCCAAAATTGTTAAGGGAGTTTTGCCCCGTTTTACGACCTTTCTTGCCACAGTTGCTACGTGAATCCCTGCAGCAGTTAAGTTGTTAAGTGAATCTGGCTTTCCTCGTTGACTTTGTCAGAAGTTTGCAAAAGGGGATCGTGTGACCCCCCTGGGACATTGCGACCGTCGTAAATACGAGTTGGTTGCCAAGCGTCCGAATTTTGACCACGTGACCAGGGAGATGCCGCCATGGTCTTAAATGTGTAAAACGGTCATAGGTCACTTTTCTCAGTACCGTTGTAACTTCAAACGGTCACTAAATGAATGGTTGTTCAGTCGAGAACTCTCTGGATGCCACCGAGGCAGAAATATCTCTGGTTGCAAGTAACACAACACAAAAAAACCTTCTCAACTGAAAACCATTGCAGAAAATATACTGCTCACAAAAATAAAGGGAACGTAAACCCCTTCAGTTCCAGGGTAAAATGTTCCCTTTATTTTTGTGAGCAGTATATTTAGTGTGTGTTTATACCAGGGGTCTTCAAACGTGGCCCTTTTATGACCTGTGGACTTCAACTCCCAGAATTCCTCAGCCAGGCACGCTGGCTGAGGAATTCTGGGAGTTGAAGTCCACAAGTCATAAAAGGGCCAAGTTTGAAGACCCCTGGTTTATACGTTAGGCCAGGGGTAGGCAACCTTGGCTCTTTTATGACTCGTGGACTTCAACTCCCAGAATTCCTGAGCCAGCACGGCTCAGCATGGAAACCTCTCCCTTTTCCCTCAGCATGGCTGGCTCAGGAATTCTGGGAGTTGAAGTCCACGAGTCATAAAAGAGCCGAGGTTGCCTACCCCTGCATTAGGCTAACACAAGCTGGCATTACAGCATCCATCATTTCCATCCAACTGAGTGAATCCAAGACATATTTCAAAACTTCCAAAAGGCAAAGAGATCTTCAGGGTATATAAAATAATGTCCTATGTTGCGTTAGCATGTCACAAACATAACGCATTCACCTCTGAAACAGGAAGAAAGTTATGAAAACAGTGAAATTAAGCCCAAGATGGGGGGAAAGTTGCAAATCCTTCCATCAGCTGGACTTTTCGCTGCAAGCAATGGTTGTTCGCAAAAACATAAAATGCATGGTTTTCAAATCTGTAAGCCAACCAGACACTTATAAGCTAAGCCAGTGTAAGCAAAGCAAAAAGCATCTATGATGGTATAATATTATCAGGTATTTGTGCACTGGGTAACAAAGGTGTACACGCGAAGCCCTCTGCGTCATTCAGATGAGCTGGAACATCTCAAAAAATATGTTTCATTAGAACATTTCCTTAGGAAATTGATTTTGTCTACACCAGGGGTAGGCAACCTTGGCTCTTTTATGACTCCCTGCTGGCTCAGGAATTCTGGGAGTTGAAGTCCACGAGTCATAAAAGAGCCAAGGTTGCCTACCCCTGGTCTACATTGTTAGCCTAACTGGAATTTTTTCCAAACTGAACTGCAAGGACTAAACCAGAGGTCTTCAAACTTGGCCCTTTTATGACTTGTGGACTTCAACTCCCAGAATTCCTCAGCCAGCGTGCCTTGCTGAGGAATTCTGGGAGTTGAAGTCCACAAGTCATAAAAGGGCCAAGTTTAAAGATCCCTGGACTAAACTGTGATCTGACCATATTGCAATACTAGAGATTCAATTTACTAAAACCAGATCTTTCCTATTAGTTATTTCTCTGTTCTTCAATATAACAAATAGCATCCATCTCTTCTTCTCTTGTCATATTCCCTCAGAAGAAAAATATTCCTTCCTGGATAAACTTTTTGTCAATTATGATTTCTTAGCTGAGGAAATCCTTTAAAATCCTCGATCTTGGCTCACTCTGGATCTTATCCTTCCTCTTGCTACTTTTACAAGTTACTGGGTTTGGATTAACTGTTCTCCACCCTGCTCAGATCACTTTTAAGTACCATCTCAAAGCTTACTGGGCAGACCGATTTTTAAAATATATCTGGCTATTTCTCATTTTTATGGAAATTGTTTGTGACTATGCATGTCGTATTTCAACCAGCAATATCTTCTTTTCCCGGTGGAATTTCTGGCCATTGAATCCCATCCAACTTGAATCCAACTTTCTACCTGTATTTTCGAAATCAATTTTATTTTATTCATTTATTTATTTGCTGTTGATTTTGTTTCATAACCTCCCATTTCCTCAGAGTTCCCTCTCATCACTCGGGGCAGTGTATACAATTTAATCAATAAAATTAAGCATTAAAACCAGAATATTTTAAGATTAAAACTTCCTAAAATCTGAAATATGTAACAACAAAGAGCAACAAAGATGATCAGGGAACTGGAGGCTAAAACATATAAGGAACGGTTGCTGGAATTGCAGTGTTCCAGTATCTCAGGGGCTGCCACAAAGAAGAGGGAGTCAAGCTATTCTCCAAAGTGCCTGAAGGCAGGACAAGAAGCAACGGATGGAAACTAATCAAGGAGAGAAGCAACCTAGAACTAAGGAGAAACTTCCTGACAGTTAGAACAATTAACCAGTGGAACAACCTGCCTCCAGAAGCAGAGAATACTGCAACACTGGAAGTTTTTAAGAAGAGACTGGACAGCCATTTGTCTGAAATGGTATAGGGTTTCCTGCCTGAGCAGGGGGTTGGACTAGATGACCTCCAAGGTCCCTTCCAACTTTATTATTGTTGTTGTTGTTGTTATTTTCTATTCTAATCTAAAATGAGGACCCAGATTGTTGGGGGGCAATATACTACTACTACTACTACTACTACTACTATTATTATTATTATTATTATTATTATTATTATTATTGAGTTTCGATTGCCGCTGACTCAATTGTGAAATCTGTGCCACAGATTTGGTCAGGATAACTGTAGACTGCATTCTCTCCATGTTCATTCTTCTACTTCCTGAGAGATGAACCTGTTGGTTTCTTTTCCTTCCATAATGCAAATTGCTAAACTAAACCACCCACATCGCTTTTGCTCAGATTGAGGTAAGGAGGGGGAAAAAAACTCTTTTAGATTATCTATTTGTTCTGAAGTATCCTGTATTATTACTATTTTCCCCTAGCTGATCAAATACAAGCTATTATAGTCCCAAAGATGCTTCTTCCAAAAGGCAACTGGACTTTCTTGGCTGTTTCCTTTGAAAACGTTTCGCTTTTCATCCAATCGTTGTACTGAAGAATGAGATGAGAAACAAAATGTTTTTGCAGGAAAAATAAAATCAGGAAAATCCAGTTGCCTTTTGGAAAAAGCACCTTTGGGACAACCACGACCTGGAGGACTGAGAATCTCCACACACACACAAGAATAATAAGACACAAGCTATTATTCCGTTCCCTTTGTAAAACTGTTTCTTTCGAGCCAAGGAAATACCGATCGATATGAGGCTGGGTTTGACAGGCAAAATCAATCAAGCCAGCAATTTAACAGCTTCTGATCTTGGCTCAAAGAGCAGGACTGCTTAAATCAGGTCCACTCTGCATGCCTGGTGGGCACAACACAAAGAAAATAAGAGCAGCTTCATTCTCAAGCAGCCTCATGCCCTGGATGGATACAGGAAGCCAAAGTAAAAATAAAAAAAAACTCAAATAGCTGCATATCCATGCACGGCTCTTCCTGCGTTGCAAACTTAACTCGGGAACTCGTACCTCTCTCGTTGGCGTCTCACTTACTGGCTAAAGTGCAGGTGACAGAATGAGAGAAATAACTGGGATTAATATATTTTAATACAGGACCAAAGAGAATCCGCATAACTAGACGGACGGCGACGCTGACTTGAACAGGAAGCCAATACCTTGTAACCGCATCTTTGGAAATACGCCTCTTCGTCCTTTTTGGCTAATTCGCTGCGCTTGAAATATTTCTTATTTCCCTGAAAGAGAGAAATCACATCATGTTAAGCAAAACCTTGCATTTTTTTTTCCTTCGATTTTTTTTTAACAATGCATGTTTTAGACACAGAGTGATCAATAACCCCTACCCACCTATGCAATACATGTAAAGTGAGCTGTAATATTTTAGATGTTCATATTCAATCATTCTATCCCCAAATGTATTTAAATGAGAAGTACTCTATTGGGAACCGTTTTGTTGAAACAAAAGTAATTTTATAGGTGTTGCAGTATAAAATGTGGTGAAGACTAGGTTACAATCTGCTTCTGGGAGAAACACACGAGGGGTGTTTTAAACCGGAATGACACATTTTCAAACTATACCCATTCCTGTGGGGTCCTTGAGCTTGTTTTCTTGCAGACATTTCATGACCCAACTAGCTAACATCATCAGTGCTAGAGAGGGAGGTTTGCTCTTACTAGTTTGGTAATGAAACGTCTGCAGGAAACCACCAAAATCAGAGAGCGCCAAAGACGCCATGTCAACCCTGAGTTACAAATATCTAATTTCCCCGTACAATTTTCTGACCTACACCCAGTAACCCCTTATCAAAACAGGCTGGATTTACCAATAAAAGATAATATTTGCAGCTCAGGGTTTAAACAAGGGGTCCTCGGTGTTCTCTGAGCTTGGAAGTTTTCTTGCAGATGTTTCATGACCCAACTAGGGAACATCATCAATGCTAGGAGAGGAGTTTGCTGAAAGATTTGAACTGTGGGGTCCTTGGTGTTCTCTGAGCTTGTTTTCTTGCAGACCTTTCATTACCTGACTAGGTAACATCTTCAATTTTAGAAGAGAGCGGAGTGTGCGGAGAGGAGGATGACTGTGGGGTCTTTAATGCTCTCTTGAGCTTGCTTGTTTTCCTGCAGACATTTCATGACCCAACTAGGGAACATCATCAGTACTGATCAATAGTAATAAGTAAAATCATCAGTGCTTGAAAGGAATGAGGTTTGCAGGGGGGAGGGGGAGGAAGAGGAGGGTTATTATTATTGTGCTCTTCTTCGTACTCTCTGAGCTTGGTTGTTTTCTTGCAGACGTTTCATGACCCAACCAGGTAACATCACCAATGCCAGGAGACAGTGGGGTTTGTGGAATGGAGGAGGAGGAGGAGAAGAAAAGGAGGAGAAGGAAGAGGACTGTGATGTCCTTGGTGCTCTCTGAGCTTGGTTGTTTCATTGCAGACGTTTCATGACCCAACTAGGTAACATCACCAATGCCAGGAGACAATGGGGTTTGTGGAATGGAGGAGGAGGAGGAGGAGGAGAAAAGGAGGAGGAGGAGGAGGAAGAGGACTGTGAATTTGAATTTGAATTTTTGAATTTGAATTTTTGAATTTTATTATATTTATACCCCGCCCTTCTCCCGGAGGACTCAGGACGGCTTACAGCCAGTTTAAAAACAACTAATGCAATACAATACAAAATTTAAGAAAATGATTAAAAATAAATATTTAAATAGGCCGTTTCTACTAAAATTTAGTTAAAACCAATTTAAAATACCCCTAGGCCAGTCCTGCCCGCTGAAATAACCAAGTCTTGAGGGCGCGGCGGAAGGAGGGGAGATCCGGAATCACCCGGATCTCTGGGGGCAGCTCGTTCCAGAGGGTGGGGACTCCAACAGAGAAGGCCCTCCCCCTGGGGGTCGCCAGCCGACACTGTCTGGTTGACGGCACCCTGAGGAGGCCCTCTCTGTGGGAGCGTATCGGCCGGTGGGAGGTAATCTGTGGCAGAAGGCGGTCTCGGAGGTAACCAGGTCCAATGCCATGGTGCGCTTTAAAGATGATAATCAACACCTTGAAGCGCACTCGGAAGGTGTCCTTGGTGCTCTCTGAGCTTGATTGTTTCATTGCAGACGTTTCATGACCCAACTAGGTAACACCATCAGATTGTTGGATTTGGACATCCTGCTAGGCCAGAACCAGGCGGGCTTCATGTGCTCTTTGAGGGCTTCTTGAATGAGTTTCTGATTTTTTTCTTTCTTCAGATAAACCATGCTGGGCTTCGATGGTTAGCTGGCCTAGACTCTGGTATCTGAAGGTAGATCTTTTTTAACACTCGTATCTTACCGTGTTTTCTTAATCAAGGCAAAAGATTAATATATTTTATATATTAGCACTGGTTGCTGCCCGACGTGCTACATAGCATGGGAGGATCTGATGGTAACAAAATAATTAGCATTGTTTGCTATGCCATACGTTAAATAGCCCCCTAAATATTGGTTTATTTCCTCTAGAGGCCACATTTTTTTGACTCCAGCCTCTTCCTTCCAGGATTTTCTCCCCCAAAACAGCCCTGCGAGGCAGGCCGGGTTGGGACAGGCCGGGGAGGGCTCCATGCACCCTAAAAGGGATGCAGGGAGGGGAAAACAAGCGCTCCCCGCACTTTGATACGCATTCTCGCTCTAAATAATCCGAATTTCCTCCTCCAAGGGCCTCCTAAGGCGATCTTCCAATAACAACAGCCCTGCAAAGTAGGCTAGGGTGGGAGAGGACGGCTCCTCCCGGGCTCCCTGCACCCCAAAAGGGAAGCCAGAAGGGTGACAATCGGGTTCTTTCCCCTTTTAATGCCATCTCTCGCTCTTAATCAGGGGTTCTCAACCTTGGCAACTTTAAGACTTGTGGACTTCAACTCCCAGAATTCCTCAGCCAGCTTTGCTGGCTGAGGAATTCTGGGAGTTGAAGTCCACAAGTCTTAAAGTTGCCAAGGTTGAGAACCCCTGCTCTAAATAATCCGAATTTCCGCTTCCAAGGGCTCCCGAAGGCGATCTCCCAACAACAACAACAGCCCTGCGAGGTAGGCCAGCGCTGGCCTGCTCCTTTGCCCTCACCTCCAGCAGCTCCTTCTCCTCCAGCAGCTTCCGCTTCCGCTCGATCTCCGCCTTGAGAACGTCCATCTCGCCTCCCCCGCGGGGAAAAAAAACAGCCCCCCGGCCGTTTCCGGCTCGACCGGAAATCCCGCAGTCAAACGGTGTGCGTCACTTCCGCACAGGAGCGCCGGAACGCGCCGCGGAAGACCTAGAGTTTAACACTATAGAGGGGCCTCCGGGTTACACGAGGAGTGACTTCCGGGTTCCTTTGGGAAAAGAATTGCGCCCGCACCCTTTGTTTGCCGGAGGGAAGCAAGTGGAGCAGTTGAGATCCGCAGCCTGGCTGAGAGATGGACATTTTAAATAGTTAATTATTATTTTTTTTAAATGCCATGGGTTATCCTCAAAGGATAAGGGGCAGAGGAACTATCAATCAATCAGAATTAGATTAACCTTTATTGTCATTTTTTTTTCCTGTGGGCACAATGGCACACATTAAAAATGAAATTCAGTTGTTTCCTCTCAAAGTGGAACACATACATGACACACATTTAAAACATACTATATACAACATATGTATAGACCTACATCCTTACATATAAGTAACATATAAATAGAGCTGGAAGGTACCTTGGAGGTCATCTAGTCCAACCCCCTACTCAAGCAGGAGACCCTACACAGGTAGCCCTCGCCTTACAACAGTTCCTTTAGTGACCGTTCAAAATTATTACGTAGAAGCACTGAAAAAAAAGTGACTTATGACTTGTTTTTCACACTTACGACTTACCATCGCAGCATCTCCATGGTCACGTCATTACAATTCGGACATTTGGCAACTGACTCGTACTTATGACGGTTGCAGCGTCCCGGGATCACGTGATACTTTTTATGCGGCCTTCTGACAAGCAAAGTTCATGGGGAAGCCAGATTCACTTAACAACCGTGCTGCTAGCTTAACAACTGCCATGATTCACTTAACAACTGCGGCAAGAAAGGTTGTAAAATGGGGCAAAACTCACTTAACAACTGTCTCGCTTAGCAACAGGGCTCAATTGTGGTCGTAAGTCGAGGACTACCTGTATCATCCTTGGGTTGCAAAAGACTTGAGCATGTTTTATTATATTATCACCATCTCATTTTTGCTATCCTGGTGTGTTTCCTTACTGAAATGCAACCGTGCAGACACTTGATTGCGCTCTCGCAAACGCAGTTGAGCAGAACGTGTTGCGGGCTGCAGAAATATAGCACATTTCTGAATTTGTTTTTAAAATCCCAAAACTATTGACCCCATCTAGAAACCAAACAGTCAAGCCAAAGATCTCCAACCCACCCACCCACCCTTTAAGGTGTTAGCATCACTCAAGGATCAGGCCAGGTCAGTAATTCTGCATTTATTTATTTTAAAATTTGCTTATCTCCCGGAAATCAATCTCAACTCTTCAACTTGCTTTGTCCTGCTGCAAAAATTTGGATGACCCTCAGGTGGTAGCAGAGAGTTCTCCGTCGCTCTGCTGCCATCTGGGGCTCACCTGAATTTCTGCAGTCAACTTCTGCTGTCTTCATAGTCGAGTCCATGAAATTTTCTTAGCAATATTTGGAACAACAACAACAAAAAATCACTCTACAGTTCATTTGCAAAAATAATCAGAAGGGAATTAAGATGAGATGCATCTTTCTTATACTTTTTGTGCACCTTCCTTCTTTTTCTGTGGCTGAGAGAGAAGGACTGACCCCAAATAACCGAGTTGTCTTTCATGTCTAAGTAGCATCCGAACTCAGATCTCCCCACTGCTGGCCTTGAACACACACCATCCTGAATCACACTTCCCTGCCTTTATTGTGCATAAATACTTAGATTGCAGAATGCACTTTGCACATGCCCAGAGTTCCACCCCGCCATATTCAATTACAGTTCAGCTCCCAACCCATGACTATCTGATCTGCAGTGCCAGTAATAATAATAATAATAATAATAATAATAATAATAAAAAAATATAAATATAAATATAAATATAAATATAAATATAAATATAAATATAAATATAAATATAAATATAAATATAAATATAAATATAAATATAAATATAAATATAAATAAATAAATAAATAAATAAAGTTGGGAGGGACCTTGGAGGTCATGTAGTCCAACCCCCTGCTCAGGCAGGAAATCCTATACCATTTCAGACAAATGGCTGTCCAGTCTCTTCTTAAAAACTTCCAGTGTTGGAACATTCACCGCTTCAGGAGGCAGGTTGTTCCACTGGTTAATTGTTCTAACTGTCAGGAAGTTTCTCCTTAGTTCTAGGTAGCATTTTTCTACCTTTGGCAATTCTGGGAATTGGAAGTCCATTGTCTTAAATTTGCCAAGATTGAGAAACACAGAGTTAGAATACGTGTGCTCCACATATTAAAGTTATTAGCATGTTATTTCTTATTATTTTAGCAATTGCACTTATTTTAATCTGGACACTGCCTCATACGCAATGTTAAGTTGCGCAGCCTTATAAATTATAAATATACTCATTTTTTTAAAAAATGTTCCTTTTTCTTGCTGTACCCATTAGATTTGAATCAGCTTCATTCTATAGGGTCAGCAATTAAACATTAAAAAAAGAGACTTCCTTTTCAAAAAGCTGACGGTCATCTTAAAAAGTTCTTCTTTCCTTCAAGGGCTTTTTTTTTTTTTTTTTTTTTTTTTTTTTTTTTTTTTTTTTTTTTTTTTTTTTTTTTTTTTTTTTTTTTTTTTTTTTTTTTTTTTTTTTTTTTTTTTTTTTTTTTTTTTTTTTTTTTTTTTTTTACAAATCACCCAAAATAGCATATGGTTGCTAGGTTCATTTAAGGAACTGCATTTAAAACACCACAGAAAATATAGGTTTTCAACAAAGAAAAAAGAGACGCTTTAAAATGTTTTGCTTTTAGTTGCTCTCAAAGACGCTCATAAATAGGGCTTTGCTTGATATATTCATTTCAGGGACTGTATTTATGCCAAAAACTTTTTTAAATAAAGATAAAACCTTAGGTGATGACCAAGGTTTATCCACAAGGAATATAGTACAGATACAATAAGTCTGTTAATGACTCATTTTCAGATTAACAAAGATTTGGGTTTCTTAGGGCTTTCTTTAGTTTGGTAATACAAACTATGGAAAAACACATGATAAATAGCTAGATAATGGTAAAGAGAGAGAAAGAGAGATGAGAGAGAAAGAGAGAGAGAGAGACAGAGAGAAAGAGAAGAAATCCTTGGTGCTCTCGAGCTTGACTGTTTTCTTCCAGACGTTTTATTACCCAACTAGGTAACATCATCAGTGCTAATGCCTAGTGTTATCAAGTTTGGGTAATGAAATGTCTGCAAGAAAACAAGCAAGCTCAGAGAGCACCAAGGACCCCTCATGTCAATCCTGAGCTACAATATTCCCCTTTATTATAGATAGATAGATAGATAGATAGATAGATAGATAGATAGATAGATAGATAGAGATAGAGATAGAGATAGAGATAGAGATAGAGATAGAGATAGAGATAGAGATAGAGATGATAGAGATAGAGATAGAGATAGGGGAGGAAAGCTATGGCAAATCTAGACAGCATACTAAAAAGCAGAGACATCACCCTGCCAACAAAAGTGTGTATAGTCAAGGCCATGGTTTTCCCAGTTGCAATGTATGGCTGTGAAAGTTGGACCATAAGAAAGGCTGAGTGCCAAAGAATTGAGGCCTTTGAACTCTGGTGCTGGAGAAGACTCCTGCGAGTCCCCTGGACTGCAAGGCGAGCAAACCGGTCAGTCTTAGAAGAGATCAACCCTGACTGCTCTTTAGAAGGCCAGATCCTGAAGTTGAAACTCAAGTACTTTGGCCACCTAACGAGAAGGAAGGACTCACTGGAGAAGAGCCTAATGCTGGGAAAGATTGAGGGCAACAGAAGAAGGGGACGACAGAGAATGAGGTGGCTGGATGGAGTCACTGAAGCAGTAGGCGTGAACTTAAACGGACTCCAGAAGATGGTAGAGGACAGGAAGGCCTGGAGGAACGTTGTCCATGGGGTCGCGATGGGTCAGACACGACTTCGCAACTAACAACAACAACAGATATATAGATATATAGATAGAGAGAGAGAGATAGAGAAATGATAGATGATTGATAGACAGACAGAGACAGACAGACAGATAAGAAAATTAAAATGAAAGTTGATTTTTTTTTCAAGGTTCATTTTTCTCCCCATGGAAGAAGGAAGGGCTTAAATCCCTGCCCATCTGCTTTTGCGCTTCATAGCCATGTTGCTTTGCTCTTAATGTATAGGTGTACAAAGTTACTTGATCTTATTCTCCATCGTCCCCTAGAAAGACCAATGCTCATGAGAAATGAAGGCTGGTCTATTTTAGGAGGGGTGATGGGGCTATAAAATTATGATCTAAAGCAGGGATGTCAAACTCGCAACGTCACGTGATGTGTCGCGACGTATCGTGACTCTTGCCACTGCCGGCAATGGGGTGGGCGTGGTTTCGCTATGACGCATCTGGCCCGTGGGCCGGCAGTTTGACACCCCTGGTCTAGAAAGAGTTGGGAAACTTGCAGCATCCGCACAATGAAAACAAAAAAAGCATAGTTATAGGGTAAGAATCTAACATCTGGCTCCTGCTACCGTGTAGGATTCAAGTTCCCGTAGGTCATTACTAATTTAGTTGACTTTGATGTATTATTGCTTTTGATCTTTCGAATCTGATTGTGTTGAAGGCAATTATGCTCATTATCCAATTTAATCTTAGAAGTTGCTCTAATGCGTACATCTCTCTTTTATCGTCCTGTTTTCCATGAAGGTACTATCTCTGAAAATGTAATCTTTCCTTGACATTGGTTCCTACTGGATTTAAAACAATGTACAAAGGTGTTTCAAGCTAGATGAAATATTTGAATACACTTTTCATGCAAATAACTTCATTATTTATCAAGTTTCCGGCATACACCCTTTAACTCTGGAAGACTTATCAGGTTTTGTAAATGCCTTGGTAGATACAAATTCTTTAGCAAGTCAGAAGAGGACAAGTGAGACAAGTTATTTCCTTTTATCTTTCAAATTATGGAATCATTCAT